CCAAGATTTCGCCGAATCCTCTAAAGAAGCCAGTCGAGAAGGTTTGGAGTAAAGATAGAATCTCAGCTATGAAATCCAAGGATGCAAGCCCAGAGGAAATTTTGCTTCAGGAACTAGACAATGTCAAAATTCCGACCACTTTTGCTCAGCTTACGGCTATATCTCCAGCATACACATCCCAAATTATTTCGAAATTACAGAGCAGACTCCCGGAGAAAAGTTCCACAACTTACATAGCAACTGAAGCAGTCAAAATGTCGGCAATGGAGCTCAACAATGAAGATGAAGAAAGAGATCCCTGTTATTACAGTTGTGCTCTAGGCTACGTGACGGCAGAAATCGGCGGATCAAAAGTAGATTTCATGGTTGATTCTGGATCTATGGTCAATGTGATACCAAGTATAGTAGCTCAGGACTTAGAACTGGAAGTAGTCAAAGTCGATATACCTATGAAAGGAGTAGGAGGAGCAAGATGTGATTTGAACGGGGTAGCCGAAAACTGTCCAGTAACGATAGGAAGATTCTCGGGACCAGCTCACCTGTTTGTTTCACCAAAAGCGCAAGATTGTATCCTTGGACGACCATTTCTGTTTGATTACGAATGCACGCTAGAATATCAAGAAACCGGTGAAACTTTAAGCTTCCAGGGAACAAAAGGAAGAAAAGTTTCAGTTCCACTTGCAAGAACTGGAAAAGGGAGAGGATGGAACAACATGAAGGATCTTAGTACCAACAGTATCCGGAATGATGCTCACGAAACTCCTGCGGGTAAAATTTTAAATTTTTTTGTGGACATTTTTCTTTTCATCCAGTGTTTTTATGGGGTTACCTCCCTTATGTTGAAAACCTGTAAGGATAAAATTGAGAAGTTGGGGGAGGTTTCCCCGAAGTTAACTGACAAATTTGTTTCAGAGAAGAAGGCTGTTGTTTGTTCAAAGCTTACATCAGCTTTGGCAGAACCGAAATTCATACGATCAAGCGACAATAAGAAGATGGAAACGTTGCTGTTGAAGTGTCTCGGGATTTCCTTTCAGGAACGCTTGTGCCAAACTTGGAGAGACGGAGGACTTTGGTGTATGACGAAGTACAAATCGGTGGCTAAGAAGATCAGGCCAATTAACGAAGCAATTCCTCAGGCTCTCAATCCACCACTTCAAAGACCGGCTCTTTTGAGGGATCCATACGAAACACCACTTACACCTAACCCACCTGAATTTGTACCAACTGAGAAGGTGACGGAGGAACGGCTTAAGATGGTGAACTTTGGACCAGAAGGATGGCTGTCAAGCAAGGAATTGAAGCTCTTCAAGAATTTAATTGTCATCAGAGAAAAGGCCATAGCTTTTTGTACGGGAGAAAGAGGACTTCTAAAACACTCTTACGGATTACCATACGTTATACCAGTAGTGGACCATAAACCGTGGCAGAAGAAACCAATACCAATTCCGGCTGCAATTAAAGACGATTATGTAGAATTAGTCAGGGAACGAATAAGGACTGGTTTATATGAGCAATCAACTTCCAGTTATTCTAGTCCAGTTTTCTGCGTTGCCAAGGCGGATGGGAAATTACGAATAGTCCACGATCTTCAAGAAATGAATAAAGTCACAATCAAGGATGCTGGATTGCCTCCAGCAACGGAAGAATTTGTCGAATCTTTTGCAGGACGTGCATGTTACGGTCTGGGTGATATCATGGGTGGATACGATGAACGCGAATTAGCTCAAGAATCACGACCTTTAACCACCTTCGACACACCTTTGGGAAGATTTCAGCTTACCAGACTTCCTCAAGGGGCCACAAATTCAGTAGCAGTGTATCAAGCTCAGATGATGTGGATTCTTCAAGATGAAATTCCAGAGCATGTAGGAGTTTTCATTGATGATGGAGGGATCAAAGGTCCGTCTAGTACATATAACAACGAAGTCTTAGAAGAAAATCCGGGGATCCGTCGGTTCATCTGGGAATACGCCATAACCTTGGAACGAGTTCTTTTCAGAATTGAGGAAGCAGGCCTTACGATTTCGGGAAAGAAGTTTGCTGTCTGTGTCCCAGCTTTGGACATTGTAGGTCACGTGGTCTGTAAGGAAGGACGGCGAGTTTCAGTTCAGAAGAAGAATAAAGTGAAGACGTGGCCAACTCCGCATAACATAACAGAATTACGGGGATTCTTGGGCATTGTCACTTACGTCAGAATATTTATCAAGAACCTCTCAGAAATTGCGGCACCTCTCAGAAAACTCACAAGGAAAGATATAGACTGGGTCTGGGAAGAAAGTTGTAACAAGTCTTTCGAAAGATTGAAGGAGATTATTGGGGAAGAAATCACCCTGAAGAAGCTGGATTATTCAAAGGACGCAGGATTAATTAAATTAGCGGTGGATTCAAGTTTTATAGCCGCTGGGGCAGTACTTTTGCAGCAAGAATTAGAAACCGGATTGGACAGACCTGTGCTTTACGAATCAATTGTTTTCTCACCTGTGGAATCAAGATACTCACAACCTAAATTGGAGCTCTGCGGGGTGGCAAGAATTTTGAAGAAGCTACAGATATACCTTTGGGGTCAACACTTCGAACTCCAAGTTGATGCACAATCCTTAATCCAGATGATCAACTCACCATCACTACCCAATGCGCCTATGACTAGATGGGTGGCTTTTATTCAGTTATTTTCTTTTGACATAGTCCACAAGAAAGGAAGTACATTCACCCTGCCGGACGGATTATCCAGAAGACCAATCAGCGACAAAGAACCAGAATTTTACAAGGATCAAGAAGATTTTGACAAAGACGAACCAGTAATTAGAGCTTGTGTTCATATCAATGTATCCAATCTTTCATTTGAGCCTAAGGAATGGGAAGCTTCTGGATATTGGATGGACCTTAAGCGTTACTTAATGACTCTAAAACGACCAACTGGGATGGACCCAGAAGATTTCAGGAAATTAAAACGAAAATCAGTCAACTTTTTTATTCAAGATGGACGACTTATGCGACGACACTCACCTCTTGGACAATTGGTCATTTCCAACCACGACTATCAGTGCAAATTACTCCAAGAAGTCCACGAGGATCTGGGACACAGAGGCCTGGAAGAAACTTATCAGAGACTGGTTTGCAGATTTTGGTGGCCAAGTCTTAAGAAGCAGGTCAAGCTGTGGGTTCAGAGTTGTGAAGCGTGTCAGAAAAGAGATTCTTTAATTCCTCGAGAAATCAGAAACCCTACCGGCGAAAGTAGCTTATTTGGACAAGTGGCGTTGGACGTCTGTCACATCAAGGCTGGAAGATATAAATATTTATTAGTGGCTCGAGATGATTTATCCGGTTGGGTGGAAGCTGCGCCTCTAGAAAAATTGACTGCGGCAAAAATTGGAAAATTTCTTTTGGAGGAATGGGTCTATCGGTACGGCGCAATCAAGACGGTGACGGTAGACAACGGACCGGAATTCAAGAGTGAATTTATCAGTGCGGTCGAGAAAATTGGGGCCAAGTTCAAACCAACAACACCCTACTATCCTGAAGCAAATGGAATGATTGAAAGGGGCCATAAACCACTTAAAGATGCCTTGATCAAGATGTGCGGCAAATCTGGTGGAAAGTGGAGGGAATATTTACCATTAGTACTTTTTTCGGATAGAATTTCCACAAAAAGATCAACAGGTTACTCCCCATATGAATTAGTCTTTGGTCAAAAGTCTGTTCTTCCCGTGGACCTTGAAATGGACACCTATTTGGGAATTGATTGGATGGAAGTCAGTACAACAGCGGAATTATTGGAAGCCAGAACTCAGCAACTCGAAAGGAAAGAAGAACTCTTGGGAATAGCTTACCAGAAACTCCAAGACACTCGAGAATCATCAGTCAGATTTTGGGACAGAAAAATGGCGGCTAGACTCCGGAATCCTTTGGCGCCTGGCGAAATGGTATTGACTTATAATAAAAGCTTAGAAGATCAGTGGGGTAAATTATTTGAAAACAGATGGAATGGCCCATTTAAAGTAAAAAAACAGCTTGAAGGTGGATCTTATATTCTTGAAGAGTTGGATGGTGTGGAATTAAAAAGAGCTTATGCTGCCTCCCATATTAAGAGGTTTTATTCCCGAGGAAGGGACTTGGAGGAAATAAGGGCAGATGAGGAAGATTCAGATTCAGACTCAGACTCCCATTCATCTTCAGATTCAGCATCAGATCAAAATTCGGAAAAAAATGATGCCAATTCAGATTCAGACATGGATTAAAAATTCTTCGTTTTTTTATCATATAATTTCTTCATTTTATCTTCATCAGTTTCTTTCTGACTTTTTCCCAAAAAAAAAAAAAAAAAAAAAAAAAAAAAAAAAAAAAAAAAAAAAAAAAAAAATCCAAGTATAACTCATTAAATACCAAAAACATATCAGTCTCATACTCATTTTTGATAAGTTGGGGGAGGAGATTCATCTCTTATGAACTCAATCTTGAATGAAGTGTTTTTTATGTTTTCTTCCCTGAAGAATGGTTGAGGACAACCATATAAGTTGGGGGAGGGGGGTTCTTTTCTTTTTTCCTTTTCTTTCTGTGATTTGGTCAGGAATTTTAAAAACTTTTTTTGACTCACTTAAAATTCAGGAAGTTTTGATTCTTAATCAAAACTCAAAGGATTCATAAAAAAGAGTTTTTTTATGTACAAAATATTTTTTATTTCTTCTCAAAAGATCTCAGAGTCCCAGGAGGTCAAGAAGGCACCAATGGGGTGGGCATGAACTCACAAAAAGTCAGCCAGTTATATGATCAAAACTATATACAAGAGGTTGGATAGTAGTACAGTTAAAAAGTTTTTTGTTTTTTTTATTTTTCAGTTTTTTCTTTTCTTTAAAGTTTTTTTTATTTTAGAGAAGAAAAGAGGAGCACTTATAGCCAGTAGTGGGAGATATCCATAGAAGGGAAAGCTAAAAAGAGTTTAGGTAGTCAGCATGATGGAGAAGGATTGTTAAAGAAGGAGGATGAAAGAAGAGATTACTTGCCTAGGGATAGCCGCAGTGGGTGGCCAGGAAAACCTGACGGTCAGCGGTGAAAACCCATTGCAGGTTCTGATAGAATTGAACACGATCCTCGATTTCGCCGAGAGTCGAGGCGGGGTACTTATTGGACAAGTGTATGAAATTGTTGGCGACATTCTGAAATAGGAAGAGAAGGTCTTCCTCTCGATATACTTGTGTACCGAACGGTAGTGGATTGGAGCCGACTAGTTGCTCCCGGATGGCGCGGTAGTCGAACGCCATCATCTCTCGAGCGGATGGATCGGGATTGACAGTGTTGGCCGGAGGAGCAGCCTGTTGAGTCGACCCCCAGTCAGTGGTAGGACCAAAGGGAATGGAATCTGGACGAGAATCAGAGGCGGAATCGTCGTCGACGACCATAGGGTCATCGTAGGAATTGCCAGACCCCGTGGCGACAGGTTGTGGTCTTGGTCGAGTGGCGTAGAATATTTCTGAGGGCGGAACCGATCGGAGATCCGAAGAAGAAGGCGAAGGGAACGCGGATGAGTTTGGAATGGAAGGAGGAGCAGAAGCCGGGACGCTGGAGTTAGACTCGGATCCCGAGCTGAACCCGTCAGAAACCGAGGAATGGGAAGATCCAGACTCAGAGTCGGAGCTTCCGTCGGTGGAGCTAGGATTGACAAATTCTGGGCTTCTAAGCCCGGGAGGGAAGTTTCCAACCGATGGGGTGAAAGCCGGGGACAACGCTTTGGAGGGGATAGAAGTTAATACCTTCTTGGAACCTTAAAGAACAAGAAGCAATAAATAGGATTCAGAATTAGT